GCACAGGTGCTCCTGGGCCCTGTGGTCACCTGGGTGTCGGGAAGTCACCTGGCCTCACCTTCTGCTGTGTGTGTGTGGGTGTGTGTGTGTATGGGTGTGTGAGTGTGTGTGTGTGTGTGTGTGCGCATGCGCACAGGTGCTCCTGGGCCCCGTGGTCACCTGGGTGTCAGGAAGTCACCTGGCCTCACCTTCTGCTCTGTGTGTGTGTGTGTGTGAGTGTGTATGTGAGTGTGTGTGTGTGTGTACAGGTGCTCCTGGGCCCCGTGGTCACCTGGGTGTCAGGTGACCTCACCTCTGCTGCGTGCCCTGGGAGCATGGCTGCACAGGAACTGAGGCCCCTGAGAGGCAAGCAGTTTGCCGTGCTTTAAAATTGCAAGGGCAGTCAGCTTCTGTCCCATCCTCCTTCAAAGTCCTGCCAGACGGGGAGGTGGCAGAGGACTTGGGCTGAGCCCCGGAGCTGCATTCCCCGMGGGCCTCCTGGTATTTGTGAGAAGGCCCACCCTGTCTGGGATGTGCCTTGAGTCACAGAGAAGGGCCTGCCCTCCGCACACAGGCCCTTCCCAACCACCTRTCTGCCTCGACCCTCTCTGCTCTGGATCTCCGAGTTACCGTCCCAGTCTGAAAACCTGGGCTCTGCCTCCTGCCCACCTGCTCCTCCTGTGGAGGTTTGACTGAGCAGGGCCATTTGCCCCAGTCCTGGACCCTGGAGGCTGTGGGACCCTCCAGGCCAGCTGGTCCTTGGTGGGGAGAGAGTGCCCTCTYGTGGGCACTGGCTGGAGCTGCTCCAGGCCGCGGCTCAGCCCAGGACAAAACAAGCCTCCCTGGGCCTCCACCAGGCCCAGCCCTGAGTGTGCCTTGGAGTCTGGCTGGCCTTTCTCCTGTGTGGAGGGAAGGAGGAGCCTCCGCAGGAGACCCGGGGGAGTGGCTCCCCAGTGCCTTGGCAGCCTGCTCCTCCAGAGTTTACCTAAGGACAGCCCCCGGGCGAGCGGTGCTGCCAGGCAGATGTGACCCGTGTCTGGACGGGCTTGGGACAATTTCTGCACTTACCTGTCTTGACTCCTCTCAGGTGAGGGGTAGACTCGTGGGAGGGAAATGCCTTCCTGGAGGCCTCTTACTGAAGGGGCCAGCGATCTCAGTAGGGTCCCCTGGAGCCGGGCGTTTCCTGGGTGGTGGCTGGTGCAGGCCTGCTGGCCGTGAAAACCATATGCAAGGTATAAACAGGGATGGGCCCTTTAAAACCTGCTTCAGTGGAAGCAGTGGGTCTGAGGAGGGCGGGTGCGGCRCCCATCAGGGAGGCAGGGACCTGATCATATGTGATGGCTGCTGGATTAGGTAACCGCTCCGCTGGCTGAAATTGGATCTCAGAGGACGAGCGTTAACATCTCTGGTGTCCTGGCRAAAGGTTCATTTGAGTCTTGCATGGTGCCGCCGAGATAAAAAGGAGCTTTTAAATAATCATTTTGTCTCCCACTCGCCCGAGTGCTGGCTTCAAGCAATAAATAGGCAGCATCAGTTCTGCTTAGACACACCACCCTTCCGCTTATTTATTTAATGTTGGTGGGACTTTATTTTAACCGACTGGCTGAGCAGTTTCCGTGTCAGTGAATCCAGCACCTGTTTTCACAGTGGTGCGCTGGCGTCCCCTGGCTCTGGGTTGGACCACAAGCATGCCATCGTCCCTGTTGGGCCCTCCTTGCCCCGTGCCCCATAAACATGCAGCCAGTCCACCAGAACCAGACCCTYCCGTGGACGGAGTGGAAGGTGAAAGTCTTGCCCGGAGCTGTCCTTGCTCACACTGGCTCCTGTACACGTTCTGACGTTTTCCGTTTTCACGATTTGAGGGAGATTAAACAGGGCAGTCGGAGAACTTGGAGAGGACTTCTGGGTTTTCTGCTTGTTACCTTTTCTTTTTTTAAAATTTTCTAATCTCCAGTGAAACAATTACATTAGTTTATTAATAACTCAGAGCCTATCTTTCCTTTTTTTTCAATTTTGGGATGACTCATAAACATCTTTGTTTGTAATGGAATTAAAATTCACCAATAAAGACCCATGAACCCCACAAGTGGATATCCTCACCCCGGACAGTCTCCTGGACCCCGGGGGTGGGAGGGCAGAGCTGCAGGGCTCTGGCGGCAGGTGCCTTGGGTGGCTGGATCCCTCTTGGCACCATGAGGTCCCCGTCCCAGGAAGGCCACACAGTCACTCTGCACAGGGGACCTGGGTGGTGGTGAGGAGCTCCTCGGGGGACTTGGGAGACCTGAGTACATAAGCTCAAGAGAGAATCCATGGCTGCCTCTTTATTCCCGATGATCAGCCCAACGGGCAGCTTCCCGTGGTCTCTGAGCCTACCAAGGAAGGCTTCACTGAAAGACAGCTATGGGGCCCGCTCACCTGTGCCGTGACGTCAGCAGGGGGTTTTCCTTCCTGTCTCTCCCACCTCCCGCCCTCCTTCCTCCACCCTCCCTTCTGCCCTTTCTTAGTCCATCAAGGGCACAAGTGTCCCTGCACTTTCGTTCTCTGTGCTCCTCAGGCCACAGCTGGTCCACACGTGGCTGGTCCACACGGCCACCTCTGGTCCGTGACAGCCCTGCTGTAGCTTTTCTTCGGAACAGGATGTGGGATTCCTTTCTAAACTGCTTTCAGCTGTGGTGCCTGTCATGGTCCTTGGAAGCCAAGCGTGTGGGCACAGCCGACAGTGATGCTGGAGTTGCCAGAGACGGAAGGCCCTGGACCTCTAGGTGTCCCCAGTCACAGCCTGGCAGGGCCACCTGGCTCGGTTCTGCAGGCAGCTGGCATGGGCCCATCCCCTGGGGCTCACCAAGGCACCTGCTCTGACGCAGCCCTTGACTCTCAGGGCCCACGAGCTGTGTACCCACCAGGGACTTAGACCCTCCACCTGCAGCCCTGAACACGATTAAGTGCTGGCCCCCTTCCCCTCAGCCCACAAGTCCCTCTCTCCCTTGCTACCCCCCCTCAAAAATCCTCCTCCAGTTTTCAAAATTGAAAGTCCCTTTCATGCACCTGTCAGCAAAGGCTTGGCTGCCGACTCTAGCCCGGGTGAGGTGAGCGCTTCCTCACACGGCAGGTTGGATGCAGCAACGAGGACAGGCTGGGTCTCTGGGTCTCTCTGGGCCCGTTACCCCTCACCCCGCGTCTGTGGTGTCTGTAGAGATGGCCGTCCACTGTGCAGGAACCGTGCCTTCCCGAACCCCTTGACAGGTCTGGTTACGGGGCCTCGCCCTTGTTTCCCCACAGGACAGAGCCACGTGGCCTGGAGGAGAAGTCCTGCCCCAGGGCCTGAGATCTCCTCCATTCCCTCCACCCATCTAGCTCAGGCGATGTTGGAAATGAAAATTTCCTTTAATCAAATGTTACAAAGAAAGTTGAGTGAAGCCGCAAGCTCACGGAAATCTAAAATTAGAAATAAAGAAGGAAATGCTTCTCCTTCAATGGAAATTTGGCAGTTGGAAAATGAAAGCAAAAAATATATTCTATTGAAATTAACTTTCGTCGTTCTGGGTTTTTTATTGTGGTAAAACGTACATAATAGGAGCTTCACCGTTTGGGGTCTTTTTGAGGGTGCAGATCAGTGGTGTTACGTATTTCACCGTACAGTGGTCACCAGGGTACACCGAGACCCTTTCACCACCCCAAAGCTAAGCTCTGCTTGGTGCACCCACCTGCCACCCCTGGCCTCCACTGTCTCTGCCTCTCTGAGGCTGGCCACGCTAGAGACCGGGTGTGGGTGGAGTGTGATGTGCTTTGAGCAGCCCCACCTCCCCAGGTTTCTCCCACCGCTCCTTGGGTGGGCCCTGCACCGCCCTGGCTGAAATTCTCCCCAGGGCCTTCTGCTCACCTGCCCGTCTCTCTTTCTCCTAGTGTTGAGCATCCGGGGAGCCCAGGAGGAGGAGCCCACGGACCCTCAGCTGATGCGCCTGGACAACATGCTGCTGGCCGAGGGGGTGGCCGGGCCCGAGAAGGGCGGTGGGTCTGCAGCCGCRGCGGCAGCGGCCGCAGCCTCTGGAGGGGCGGGCTCAGACAACTCGGTGGAGCACTCCGACTACAGGGCCAAGCTGTCGCAGATCAGGCAGATCTACCACACGGAGCTGGAGAAGTATGAGCAGGTAAGCGGGCCCGGGCTCSGCACGGCCTGTGGTGCAGGGCTGCCCCAGGGGCTCGCAGACCCTTCGGCCAGCCTTGCTCCCACAGGCACTGTGCCCAGCACTTCCTTGCTGGCCAGAAAGCCCAGTCGAACTGGAGGCCACCAAGCCCCTAGGCTCAACCATGGAAGGGCAGGCGTTCAATGAGATGCAGGCATAAAGCACGGGAAGTTGTGAGCGGTGGTCTCAGGACACCTCGGCGTCCGTGTGAGGAACACCCAACACTGGCACTCCGTGGGCGCTGCCAGGTGGAGTGGCTCACACCTGGTTGGGGCATGTCAGTGCCCTTGATCGTCCCTTATTTAGGACGACTGCTCTTTTGATGTTGATAGACTCCTGTGCGAAAGGACATCAGAACTTGTCCTTACAGGCCCTTCGTGTTCTCCTCTTTACATAACACGTGGCCTGCCACAGGGCTCACGCCTTCCTCCTAGAAAGAGGGGGTGCCCCAGCAGACCCCAGAGCCTGACCCCTGGAGAGCAGGCCTGGCAGGTGGCCTGCACGATGCTCAGAAAGCTGCAGGTGCACATTGGCCGTCCCACAGGTGATGGACATTCACCGTCCCACAGGTGATGGACATTAGCCGTCCCACAGGTGATGGACATTAGCTGTCCCACAGGTGAAGGACATTCACCGTCCCACAGGTGATAGACATTCACAGTCCCACAGGTGAAGGACATTGGCCGTCCCACAGGTGATGGACATTCACAGTCCCACAGGTGAAGGACATTGGCCGTCCCACAGGTGATGGACACTCACAGTCCCACAGGTGATGGACATTTGCCTTCCCACAGGTGAAGGACATTTACTGTCCCACAGGTGAAGGACATTCACCGTCCCACAGGTGATGGACATTCAC